GACTGGGGAAGGTGGGTGGGAAGGGAAGGATAAGGGGGGGGAAGGAGGCATTACAATTAGACACATAATGTAGGGGGGAGGGTCATGGAAGGCAGTATAACACAGAGAAGACAAGTAGGTTTTCTATACCATCTTACTACACTGATGGATAGTGACTGTAATGGTGTAGGTGGTGGGAATTTATAATGTGGGGAGTCTAGTAACCATAATGTTGCTCATGTAATTGTACATCAATGATACCAAATTAAAACATACATACATAAAATGAAGTAAAAAAAAAAGATACCAATAAATGGAAACACATCCCATGCTCATGGATAGGCAGACTTAATATTGTCAAAATTGCCATCCTGCCTAAAGCAATCTACAGATTCAAGGCAGTCCCTATCAAAATACCAACAGCATTCTTCAATGAATTAGAGCAAACAGTTCAAAAAGTCATATGGAACCCCAAAAGCTGGACACTGAATTCAACTATGTGGCCAATGATTCAATCACGCCTATGTAATAAACTCCAATAAGAACTGGATGCTAAGGCTTGGATGAACTTCGCAGGTTGGTAATCATACATTGATAGGGAAGGAGAACAGCATGTCCTAAGGCCATGGAAGCTTCATGTTTGAGACCCTCCCAGACCTCTGTATCTCTTCATCTGGCTGGTCCTGATTTGTATCCTTTATAATAAAACTATAATTGCAAGTACAGCACTTTCTGATTCTGAGTTATTCTGGCAAATTATCAAATCTGAGTGAACAGTGGGAACTACAGTTGGCCAGAAATGCAGATGGCCTTGAAGCCCTGAAGCTTGCAGCTAGATTCTGAAGTGAGGAGAGTCTTGTGGACTGTGCCCTTACCCTGTGATGTCTGCCCTAACTCTGAGAAGTGCCAGGATCACACCGCAGCTATAAAATAGGATATACTTTCCTACCTCTCTTTTATGAGAAGTGAATGAGAAAAGATCAATTGAAAGCACTTTTTAAGACATAAAGCATTACAAAAGGCAAAGGACTTTTTTTGGTTATGTTCTCAAAAATATTAAAGAAGAAATCATTAAAATATTTTTTAAACCAGGATTGTTCAGCTTACATTTTTTAAAAGGCTTCAAATAGCCAATTAAGTAATCAAGAAATAGAGATTATTTTAAGATAAAATTCAGAACTTCCATTAAAAGCATTTAAAAGAGCAAGGAATCTAAATCATAACTATAATTTCAGTTACATAATTAAGATTAGTGCCTACATGATACAAATATATTAACTCCATTCTTAGTAATCTCAAATGAAGAAATGATGCAGTTTAGGAAATGTAAGATTCAGCTATTAGTTTCTGAGCAAACCTCCAAAAAACTCATGTTAGCCTTGGTTATGATCAGGAATGTCTGAAGCCAACAAGCAACATTTTGGTTACTCAGATACTGAGTTCAAGTACAAACTATTCACAACACAACCAAATTTTCTGCCCATCTCTAATCTTTTTTTTCTTTTTTATTCCCATCTCTAATCTTTTAATTCAAGCATGAAGCCATGAGGCCACACTGGTCTTTAAAATTCTCAAACAATGCTATGTGCTTAAGGCAGCTACCTGTCTACTTGAAAAGGAATAATTTCTAACTACATTAAGTACAAGAAGCAATAACTTAAAAAACCCTCAAGACTTTACATCATAAATTTATAAGAGTATATTGTTCAATCTCTACCCTCTTGAACATGAGATGCTAAACATGCACTGGTCTTTCCCTGGGTAATGAAGGGAGCAGTTTAGTGTAGCAGAAAAAAAAGGCCTTACAGTCAAAAAAACCAAACCAAAACAAACCAACCCTAGGTTCTAGCCTACTTTTCCCCTTTTTCAGTTAAAAGACTTTCTGGGTTTCATTCTCCTCTAAGTATATATAAGGGTATGGCCTACAGAATCTGTAAGGTTCATTATAGCATGGACATTCCCAATTTTCTTAAGTGTTAAGAAGGCAACAACTCATAATTTAGATGTTCTTCAAATTTTAGGTCTTGTAGATTAGATGACAAAAATCATTAAAGCTTACCATGGTGTAAAAACATATACCATCAACATGTCCCTCCTTACTTATTAAAAACAAAGATAAACAAGAGATTTGCCCCATAATGAGCAGAAACACATCATTAATTTTATTAACTATTTACTTATTAACTGACTCATTTTAGCTTTAAGCAAATATTAAGACATTCACGTTTTCTTAAATCTGATGCATCAAATTTATTATAAGCAAACCTTTTTCAAACTGTTTACAAAGCTGACCTACGATGATACATGTGATGCTAACTTTTTAATGACTTTTTAAAAAAAAGAACAAAAATGATTTTTGCATATCAGCCCATTAAATATTTCATACAGAATATAGAAGTACAGTAGTAGTTAAATCCAAAAAAAAAACTTATTCAACAGAAGATGATGATACTACCAGTAGTTAAGAGGAGTAACACACATAAATGGAAAGTTTCCAAACAGAAACCTTGTTTCTATGTGCCTTAGAGCAAAGTGGTTATGACTTCAGGATATGGAATCAGCTGAAATCCTGGCTCCTTTCTTACCTGTGTGACCTAAGTAACATCCATCTCTATAAATCTGTTACTTTGTAACCTTGCCTACTTTATATGGTAATTGTGAATATTAAGTGAAACACTGCACTTAGCAAAGAGCCTAACACACAGCAAATACTTAATAATTTGTCAATTATTATTGAATTTTGGAAAAAATATTACATAGAGAAGTAGTATTTTTTTTTAAGTGTCAGGCCCAAAGTTTAGAATCTTATTGGTTAAAGTTCAGATTGAGAAATCAAATAAAATATAATGTTCCTACCAAGTGGTATTTACTAAAGACAAGTAGACAGAGTAAAAATAACTGGTGTTATGCAAGTGCAATTACTATAGGCTGAATCTTAGTTTCTAAGACTAATTCACGTTGCTTTAGCTCGAAGCTTCTATTATTACAAAGTTATCATTTGTCCTCAATTCTCTATTTGTGGTAAATGCTAAAGAAAAAACAAGTCACTTTATGAACAGAAAGGAAAAAGAAGAAATGAAGTATAACTGAATTACTGTAAGCTCTAATTAAGAACCAAACACAACTGGGGAGCAGGGAACCCCATTAATGAAAGGCAGAAATTGAACATCCTAAAGATGATAACAGATCTCTCCTTTCCCAAATACTAGAGTCATACTTCAACTGGATTGTCAAGGATTTTCCTGTCTTCAGCCTACAACAAATCCTTTCATCATCACAATAGTATCTCCAGTATAACTTCAAAGGGAAAGATGTAAAAGCAACTCTGGTGAGTGGCTGTTGAGATAATCACTCTTAGCACCTTCTACAGACCTAGGAATAAAAAAAACTGACTTATACATTAAGACCAAATACTAGTCACCATTCTCTGCAGTTTATTTTTCAATCCGTTCTGGACATCCACAAAATATATTTATTTTAAAAAAGAGTTCCATAAATGTAACTGTGGTAGCCAAAAAACATTCAGCAAAAGAAATACAAAATTCAATGACTGCACCTTTATCTCATGCAAAAACACAAAATTCTAAATGAATACTCTAAGCTAATTTCAAATAGTTTTTAAAAAATCATAAAATAACCCTGTTTAAAGAATTTCTGTATTTAACTCAATTATTACTATAATCCTATGAGGAAGGTATTATTAGAGTCCCTACCTTACAGATGAGCAAACAGGCACCAAAGATAGTAACCTGCCCAGGACTACGGTCAGTGAATAACACCAGGAATTCTAACCTAGGCTGTCTGATTCCAGAACCAATGTTTAAGTGTCACCTATACCATTCATTCACTTAATGAGTTTGCCTGTGAGCCTACTATGTGTCAGGTACAGTTATAAACATGGGATAGAGCTATGGACAAGTCAGACAAGCCTCTGCCCCCTCCTAAGGAGGCAGCCAAGGAGAAAACAAGTCTAACAGGAAATCAATACATGAGTGAATAGTGTATCTTCACCTAGTAGTAAATGCTATTAAGAAAAATAAAGCAGAATGAGGGTATCAAAGTGACAGAAGGAGGGGCTGGCTCCTATTTTAGGGATCAGGGAAGGCCACTGTGTGGCAATGACATGTGAGCAGGAAGCAGAAGATGTAAAGGCAAGATAACCACTGGGAGGAAGGGTGGCCCAGCTAGAACTGCAAGTATAACCTCCTTGAGACAGGAAAAGTTTGGTTTGTTCAACAACCAGCGAAAGGATCATGGGACAGGGCCAGGGTGATGAAGAGTCACGCAGCAAGGTTAGAAGTGACAGCAGCCAAATCACTGAATGCCCCGACCGCCTGTGGTAAGGAGCTCTTGAGTCAATACATAGAGCAACAAGAAGCTTCTGGAGGATTCTGAGCAAGAGAATGACAATATATGGATTCATGTCTTTATAATGATCACTCGGCTGGTTCTGTGGGGACCAGACAGGAAGGTGCAAGTGAAATAGGGACACTGGGAAGGCACAGTTACAACAGTTTAAGGAAGAGACTGGAAGTGAGACTAGGATTTGTGTACTAGTTATAACTAAATGAGATACTACTAAAAGGGAGTATGCAACCTGTCTCTAAAAAAGACTTTTATATTCCTCCTTCCCTCATCCCCATTCTGCTTCACTTTGAAAAAAATCAGATTCCTTTTTTATATGCATGTTAATGCTTCAGTTGGTGCTATAAAGGAAGATCTTTTATTAGAAGGTATTTCATTTATAAATGTTCTGCTTAATATACTCGATGCTTTATGCCACACACACTCATACATTCTTGAGAGAAAGAACTTCACTGCTCTTTAGTTTGGGGCTCATTCGTTTATTTGGAAACAAGAAGAGGTACCCATCACCTCTTCTGATTAACTTTCTACTCATGTTTTGTCTCCAGCACATCCTGGCCCATTCTAGATTGTGAGATGTAATGAAGAGGTGTACCAGAGGGAACATGTATTTACTTGAGCATTACTAAGTACAAGGGATTCGCTAGATGCCTTACATTTAAGAAGTCATTTAATCCTCAGCTACTCAAGGTTAGAAATGTCTTCATTCTACAGACAGAAAAAAAGCAGAGATATTAGTAACTTTAAACTGTCCAAGGTCAATTGTCCCAGCTAATAATGGGCAGAGGCAGAATTTAAATATACATCTAACTCCAAAGTTTGTCTTTTACCTATAGCAGCTATCAAAAAAAGGCCTATCAAATATACATTATATATAGTCTTCGTAATTTATTATCAATGACTAGCTTGTTGCTGGTAAGGATTTCTCTTAGGTAGAATCTGAGTTTCGAAGTTGGGGGTAGGAAAAATGGAATGATCTTACACATTCTCATTATTTTGAAAAATTATTTTCTACTTGAGACTTCATAGAAATTAACCCTGAAAGAGTGTTGCGGGGGGGGGGGGG